CAATTTTTTATTATTCTTAATACGTATAAACAAAAGTTTAATTTACTACAAGAATTTTCTTAATCATTTATGAATTTTTATTGATAGAAACAAATTCATTGATAAATCTAAAACTATTGAGGAATTTTAGAATTTAAATTATTAACAAAAATTTTCATCATTAATGATTTTGTCACTAAAATTTATCAAATAAATTTGTCGATAAATTAGATTTTATATTACTGACAAATAATTCTGCTAATATTGCATATGACTATTTATTTTGTTAGTAAATTACAATTTTAATTTTTGATGAATTTTTCACTAAAAATTCATCGACAAACTGTATAATAAGTTTCTTACTTAGTATAATAGAATTTTTTTATATATATATATATTAAGAAGAAATATATGTGAAAAAGAATAAGAGAAGAAGATAAAGAGAATGAGGGGTGAAGAAGGAGAAGGAGGAGGATGAGTTTGATAGTGTTGTAGAGGTCTGATGATAGTGACTTTCATAGTTAAAGAAGGTGAAAGAGAAAGAGGAATAAGAAGATAATAAAAAATAGGAGAAGAAAGAGGAGAAGAAGAAAGAAGAAGATGATGAGTGAGAGGTGTTGATAGTTGACGTAGCAGTGACGATGACAGTAGTGGAGGTGTGACGAGGAGAAAAGAATGAAGAAAAAGAAAAAACAAGAAAAAAAAGAGAAAGATGAAGAGGAAGAAGAAGACTTAATCCCAATTTTTACTAACAAATTTCATTAATAGTCAAAATTTGTCAATAATTATCATATATGTATCGACGAATGTTTAATGATAGATTTGTAGTTATTTGTAACTAACTACAAATTTCGTGATCTATCGATAAAATTTATCGACGACTAATTTACTAATAAAAAATTTTATAATTGATAATTCATTCATAAAAAATTTTATAATTGATAATTCATTCATAAAAAATTTTATAGTTGATAATTCATTCATAAAAAATTATATTATTAATGATTTTTCTATTATCGATAAATTATGTTAGTTAATAATACACAATTTTTTTTTAATGATTAATATAAAATAAAGGTGTTACATGGAAAATATTAATGCAAGCCATGAAGTTAAGATTGTTCCTTTACAAAACTATTTAATGTAAAAAATTTAAGAGGGGAATGAGTTTTATTACATTCAATAAATCACATTTGTCTTCAAGTTTACCTCATACCCATCTTTTTATAGACTTAAGAAAAATTCTTTAACTAGGTATTATTTGTAATTTGAAAAATACAAATAAAAATATATGTAATTTCAATTTATTTTATTGTATTTCAACTGAAGAGAGTTTTTAAAAAAGGATTAACTATGGTAAAAAAATATTACGAACTTTCAGCTCATCTCTTACGATCAAAGTTCAAAAATAAATGTCAAACCTATCAATTAATTCCCATTTTCCTCTATACTCAAAGTCAAACTCATGTTCCATGAAAAGAGGTCAAGTGTGGAAGAAGAAAAGTTATAAAAGCCAATGAAAACACAACATACTTTCAACTATCATGTTTAATTGCAGTATACCCACCAACAAATAACTATAAAGTTGATTTGGCCATTTTTCACTACCATTTGACATTGGAGTCAAATACATAATACACGATTCACTCTTTTTCTTCCTCCTCTCTCCCTATATAAATGTCCTTTAACTCCAACCATTCTCTCAACAACAAAAACCTAATCAGACTTCACATTCACTACATTAATTCCCTTGTTTTGTTTAGCCAAAATGGGTGTGAAGTTTAGAGATGCAGTGATGATAACAGTTATAATGAGTGCTTCGATGTTTTCAGTGAGCATGGCCAACAAGGATTGGTTCCCTGCTTTCAACTACACCGATTGGTGGTCCAGATTTGGGAATCATCATCAAAACAAAACACAGCAACAAGCATCCCAGATTCTTGTCGGTGGTTCTGAGCATTGGCACTTTGGCTACAACTACAATGATTGGGCCATCAAGAACGCCCCTTTCTACCTCAATGATACTCTAGGTCACTTTCCCACTAAACCATTTCTAACATATGAAAATCCAAACTCTTCTGCGTTATGCTATCCTAACTCATTGTGTGTCAAGCTGATCATTGAAATATGCTAACGAATGAACATGAATTGATTGAATTTGTTATGCAGTGTTCAAATATGATGCTCCAAATGCCACCAGTTTCCCACACAGTGTGTACATGTTCAAAAGCTATGGGAGCTTCTTGAAGTGTGACATAAAAAAGGCTAAGATGTTGGCAAGTCCGGTGCAAGGTGGAGGAGAGGGGTTTAAGTTTGTGTTGCAGAAATGGCAGCCTCATTACTTTGCCTGCGGTGAGAGAAATGGCTTCCATTGCAACAATGGCACCATGAAGTTTGCTGTCATGCCAATGTTCCGTCCCTTCTGGCAGCGGCCATGATAGAATTGCACCAACTACCGAAACTTGCTATATTTTTGTTTCTCTTATTATATGTTTTGTCCCAAGTTTTCTGAAAATAAGTTATGCGTTGCTTCAACTTGATTGATTTTGATTCCAATGATACTTTGTCAGTACTGTAATGCGCGTTGGGGAAAGATTATAAAGAACACGTAGACATATATCATTTTCCTATTTTTAATGTCTATAAGAGTTATTTGTATTATTCATGTTACTATTAGTTTATTAGATTTATTTTTTAATGTTAACTGGTAATAAATATAACTAGGATTTATTTTTGTTAATATTAAGAAGTCTTAATTGATATCATTAATAAAGTTAACAAAATGATTTATATCTATAAAAATAATATTGACCTAAAAATAATATTGATTGACGAGCTGAAAAAAAAATATAGTTATCAGTTAAAAAATCTTTATACATTTAGAAAATAATATTAACAAAGATGGATTAAAAAAGACAATGATTATTAATATTATCATAAAAAAAAAAAAAAACTTATGGTTGTAGGATTTAGCTACAGAATTAAAGGTGCAAAACTAGGTTAGGGTCTATTGCGCCAACAACAAAGTGATGATGGTCTGAACAAATTATATCCCCTCTCATATGATTACAAAAGTTCTGTCAAGAAGCAAAGTTTGGCTTCGATTTCATCTAGTTGATATAATGAGTTTAATGACAGGTAATGATTTTAATTTGTGTTTATTACAACAAAAGTCAAATTTTATTAATTAGGAGTTAATTTTTACATTATGGATGGTTTTAATTTCTAGTAAATATATTTTATGTGGTTATGAAAATTGTTGAGAAAAACAGCATTGATAAATAATTATTAACGATTTTTGTTTAACCATTGTTATTGGGAGGTTTTCAGAATCATTTGTTGAAGTTTTTCAAAATCGTTATTATTTACTAAGGTTTTCAAAATCATTGCTAATTATTAGGGTTTCGGAAACCTCCGCTACATATCATGTGGATGCACCGATTTCACACTGCCTCCTTAATTATTGCTTTTAGTTTTATAGTATCAATTATATTCTGTAAATTTAGACACTCGTGTTGAATCCACTTTATGTGTTCAATTCATAATAAGATAACATATAAGAACAATAATTTAAGCAATCTAAACTAAACACAATTTTAAACAAAACAATAACAAAATTATGGGTCACTATCCCATAAGAACACACACAACAACACCCCTTTTTAATTTTGCACTCATGCAACCTTAAAACATGATTAACACAATCATCACGATCTAATAGCCTTTCCATGTTTATCTAAACTTTACCTACCAATTCTCCAGCGGCTTCCATCCAATTCTGCACATGCACCAACTATGCTAAAAACCTTGGCAACACCTTTCAAACCTGTCCAGTAACTATTGATTTATAAACAAGATTCACTTCCAAAAATCCTATATGTTTATGACCTACATAAGATACTTTTGACCATAATTAAATACGGTTTTGGATGTGGGGTTTGAAATCACAATCAAAATACTCCTTCACACTTTTCTCCAGTCCTCTTAACATCAGTTTCAGTCTCACTTATAAAGTTATCCTAAATCTTTAATACTTTGTCTCCAAGCTGTATTGGTGTACCTGTCAAAAATACTCTGATGCTCAAGTCAATATTATGACCATTTGGTTAACACAGTAAAATCTTAAATTCGTAATAAATACAATCATCTACCTCCTTACCTCAAATTTGTATTTGTAGATTTCAAGATAGGCTTATAATTAGTATAGGCTTAATCATGGTCCAATATATGATAAGCATACTTTACCTGTAAACTTGATTATTGGTGATACTTAAGGTGTTTAAATGTTTATGATAGTTCGACCATCCCTAGAGTCTGATTGAGTGATTGACTGATTCGAGCTCTAGTGCGCTACTGTCGTAGACCATTCGGTCAATAACTGACCAAGCGATCATACACTACAAATACACTACATCAAGTCCATATATGTGCGTCAGCGACACCAAGCCTTTATATGCATCAGTTGCACCAACCTTATTGATCCAACATCAATTTCAGTCTAAGTATACGTGCATAAGCTTTAGTGAGCTAATTTCCATGATCTTAACCAATATTCAATCCATCATTTTAACCATTATTCAATCCTTACATAGCTCTATGAATACAAGTTATTTGACTTCTACATGTACTTTACCGAATTCTACGTATGTCTATCAGAGTTATTTTAGTTCTTCATGCACTTAATTAAATTCTTCGAATTTTTTGTTTGACATTTGAGTTCTCCATGCACTTAGTTAAGCTATCTGGCATTCTTATTAAAGGTTTTAGTTAATTATATGATACACAATTTCTGATAATTATGTATGTTCAAGTTACTATAATTTCCTTTTTTTTATTTTTCTTTTTTCGTACAAATTTTCATACCACAAGTTAATTATATAAACTATGATGCAGATAAATAATTTGGAAATGAAATTGATACTAAATTAAAATCTAATAACAAGTTGAGACTTTTCCTATGGAGATCGTCCGAAAAGAAATATAAATAAAGTGTTGAAGAAAGCTAGAAGCAAATAGAGGATAAAATAGATACGGTTTAATGTCTCAATAGGTCCCTATTTTCGTCTCAAATTTGAAATAGGTCCCTGTTATATTTGAAGTCTTAATTAGATCCTTATTTTTGTTAATTTGATGCAAATAAATCCTTTCCGTCAATTTCAGAAANGTGGTCCAGATTTGGGAATCATCATCAAAACAAAACACAGCAACAAGCATCCCAGATTCTTGTCGGTGGTTCTGAGCATTGGCACTTTGGCTACAACTACAATGATTGGGCCATCAAGAACGCCCCTTTCTACCTCAATGATACTCTAGGTCACTTTCCCACTAAACCATTTCTAACATATGAAAATGCAAACTCTTCTGCGTTATGTTATCCTAACTCATTTTGTGTGTCAAGCTGATCATTGAAATATGCTAACGAATGAACATGAATTGATTGAATTTGTTATGCAGTGTTCAAATATGATGCTCCAAATGCCACCAGTTTCCCACACAGTGTGTACATGTTCAAAAGCTATGGGAGCTTCTTGAAGTGTGACATAAAAAAGGCAAAGATGTTGGCAAGTCCGGTGCAAGGTGGAGGAGAGGGGTTTAAGTTTGTGTTGCAGAAATGGCAGCCTCATTACTTTGCCTGCGGTGAGAGAAATGGCTTCCATTGCAACAATGGCACCATGAAGTTTGCTGTCATGCCAATGTTCCGTCCCTTCTGGCAGCGGCCATGATAGAATTGCACCAACTACCGAAACTTGCTATATTTTTGTTTATCTTATTATATGTTTTGTCCCAAGTTTTCTGAAAATAAGTTATGCGTTGCTTCAACTTGATTGATTTTGATTCCAATGATACTTTGTCAGTACTGTAATGCGCGTTGGGGAAAGATTATAAAGAACACGTAGACATATATCATTTTCCTATTTTTAATGTCTATAAGAGTTATTTGTATTATTCATGTTACTATTAGTTTATTAGATTTATTTTTTAATGTTAACTGGTAATAAATATAACTAGGATTTATTTTTGTTAATATTAAGAAGTCTTAATTGATATCATTAAT